TGATGTTATCATTCCTCAGGCTGTCCTAACAGGAGGCTCCTTGATTCGGGACGGAGAATTGAGTGAGAGGAGGTGGTAGCTGGTTAAACGTCATCCCCGGCTGGCCAGGCCGGTGAGGACATTGAGCCTTCCAGTGTCCTGGCTGGCCACAGTAATGACAACTGTCATTATTTTGGGACTGAAATTATCCTCATCCCATCCCACTACCACATCCCCTGCCTCTGAATTGTCCTTGATGGAAACCTCAGCTTCTACCTCTGCCTAAAGTTTGTATTTGTAAAGACATTAGCTTAGTTTCCGTGGATTCCTTTTTCTTTTCTTGGCAGGCTGTACAGTGATTAGCAATGGTGACTAATTCTGTAAGCGTCTTAGTCTGCCAACCTACAGCAATTATATGCAGCTGTTCCTGGACTTTAGAAAGAAGTCCTTGGACAAATCGGTAGCAACTGCTTCTGGGGCAGTTTCAGCTGCATCTTCAATGCCAGAATGTCTTTCAAATATGAGTTTCAAGTGATCCATGTAGTCTGCTGGGGATTCTCCTTTTATTTTTCTTACAGTTATTTATTTTGGCCCAGTCAGTTTTCCTGGGGCAGATTTTAAGCACGGCCTCAAGAAGGCATTCTCGGGCACCTACTAAGCGACCTCCCATTCCGCGGTCTTGAGGAGGCCAATTTGCCTGTTCGATGAGGTGGTTACAGACCTAGGAGGGCAGAACACTTCTCATTAATTGGTTTAAATCCACCCATGTTGGCTCATAACAATTGATTACAGCTTCCAATTCATCTCTAAACTTCTGGGGTTCTTCCCTGATATTGGGGAATTGCTTAACAAGGTTTAGGAGATCTCCTGGGGTCCAAGGGGAATAAACTCTGACTGTAGTTTCCCCATTTGGACCCTGTCCTGGAAGTTGGCGTAAAGGCATAAGATGAGTCTTTTTCATTTTTAAAGGTGGGACTGGACCATATTGGGGGTCGGACCTTAAATAAGAGGAGGTTGAGGCTTCAGGAGACAGATGCCATGTCTCCGGTGGCTGCGGGCATGCCCCAGGGGCAGGTGATGGTTATGGTTTCCTGATGGGGTGGGCTGATTCCTCAGGAAGAATCTATTTGGTTACTTTGAACTTCCTCGGGTTCAGATTGTGCCTGGGGTTTGTATGGGGGAGGCACACTAAAAAATAATCAATTATGTCTTCTACAGATTCATTCTCAGTCAATTGTGGATAAAGTTGTGTTGGTGCTGATGATGGGGGTCCCCTATTGGTGCATTTTTTCTGTTTTAATTCCTTTACTGCGATTTTAGTTTTTCTTGGGAGTCCTTAAGGCTCCGAACTTCAGATTCTTAATGTCTTTTGGAAGCTTCTGCATACTAATCAAAAAATGTGTCCCACTGAGTCTG